GAGTCAGTTACAATCACAATGTGTGTGTGTGTGTGTGTGTGTGTGCATGTATGTGTGTGTATGTGTCTGTGTGTATGTGTGCGGGGTGTCATGTTCTTTAACTAGTGGAAAGCTGTAGTGACCGCCTCCACCTCTATTCTTGAGCTGGATGTCGTGAAAGCGGCTAATTAATTACTTGTTTAAATCAGATTTGATAGACTGAAGAACCCCCCCCCCCCCTTTTTCCCCCAACACCCGCCACAAAAAAATGTTTATTTCGTCATAATGGTGTCGAGTGTATTGTCTTTGCTGACAACTATGTCGCAATTTTCAACACATCTGAATGCATCGTGACATTTTTTATGTAATAGATTATGATTATCACCATTATAATCATCATCATCATCAACATCATATCAGCATGTTCATGTAGGAGGTATTTTGCAGAGCGCTGCTCTCATCAGGCCCCAACAGAAGAAATCTCTGATGGTGGGGATGATTATGATGATGATGATGATGATGATGATGACGACGATGATGACGATGGTAATGATGATGATGATGATGATGACGATGAAGATGATGACGATGATGACGATGATGATAATGATGATGACGATGATGATGATTATGACGATGACGATGAAGACAATGATGATGATGATGACGATGCTGATGACGATGATGATGATGATGACGATAATGATGATAATGATGATGGTGATGATGATGATGATGGTGATGATGTACAGTGCTAATGACCCCCCCCCCCCCCCCCCCCCCCACCCAAAAAAAAAAAAATAAAAAAAATAACCAGAACAAACCAAGCAATCAAATAAACCTTAACCAATATCAGTTGCAAGAAGAAGAATGAGCTTGTGGTCAGATCCTCCCCCCCCCCTTTTTCACGAGAGTGATGACGTCGAGATGTCTTCTGGCCATTATCTCGAGGCAACAGGCGAGAGATTTGAATTCAGTAGTCCTGTGTGATTAGACACGTTTATCGTGTGCTCCAGCTGCTGATAACACTTGAAGTTCTCATTCACTAGTAAGATAAACCATTCGAGTTATATCGATCCTATCTGCTGACTTGTGGCCATATGCATTTGACGACTTTTCGTAGCAATTGTTGGCCATTAACAGACTGCTCATAACAATTTTGTAATTTTTGTTTATTTTATTTAAAGCAGTTGGCATACCCTAGATAAAGGAAGCTAAAAATCGCGAGGGTTCACTTACTTGCGACTGGCTGCATCCTGAATAACTCAGAATGGCTGCCTAAGGCGTCGCACAAAGCCCACCTCCTTAGTTCAAGCAACAATCCCCAATGAATCTCTGTAAGAACTGTACTCGTAAGCTGGACGAGACAGCAAGTAAAACAAACTAATAGTCGTTAGGACGAGAGGGAAACTTTTTTTTTTTTGGTACCTCTGTTCACTTCTTCGAACCTGTCACCTCCAAATGGCGTATGGAGAAAAACTGCACTAAGAACAGGACCAACTATGTACCCTTAAAAAGAGGTGTCTTCATTGGCCATGTCTATTGTACAGCTTGAAATCCACCGATCAACACATTGTCTGTATTTAATATTTGTACGGCCTGTGGATATGGAAAGTAACCCATATGTGCTCTGTTCTTCTTCTAACTCAAGTCTGAGTCCGAAGAAGCTCAGCACAGAGCACAGGCTCTGTAGCACCAGCGAGGATCCTTACATACTTTGGTTGGATTTTTAACTCCAAATTTTGCCCGGACGCGCCGTTAGGCTACTCTTTTTCGTTTTTCAACTGCCAAGAAAACTTTTACGTGGGCGACAATGCACACGGGCGTCTGATCTCACTACTCAGAGACCAGTGGGAATTACTAGAAGTCCAAGTCCACGTAAAAAAAATCTTAACCCTTACCGGGGATTGAACCCGGCTCTCTAACACTCAAGACCACGCATATGGTCTGAAAGTCACAAATATGGGAGTTCGAAACCTGGTAAACATCAAGAATTAGATTGTTAAATGAATTCAACGCCAGCGGTTTGCAACCTTTTCTGAGTCACGACCCTATTTTAAAGAGACTAAGTGACTCCCATTATTATAAATCAACCATCACGAAGATATTAAAAGACAAGTGTGGTACCAGAAAGACGGGCAAAGGCAAGAAAAAGGGGACCGCTTGGTGGAATGAAGAAGTCAAAGAAGCAGTGTCAAATAAAAAGAAGATGTTTCAAATATGGTTAAAAACAAAAGACGAAAAGGATTACATTAGGTACAGACTAACTCGAAGAGACACCAAGAGAACAATAAAGAAATCCAAAGAGGATTCATGGAAAAAGAATGGTGAACACCTAACACAGCTATGTACAGAATCATCAAGAGACTTTTATAAGAGTGTGAAAGCGATGCGATTAAGAGAAGAAAGCTTCAATCCAACATCAGTCATAAATGATAAAAATGGAAAACCATTATTCAGCCAAAAAGAAATTAAAAAAAGATGGGAGGAATATTTTAAAGAACTTTTGAACCCGTCGGGAGTACATGAAACAGCAGAATTCCATTCAAGGGCTCCAGATCATCTAGAACCACATATCCTGCGGGATGAGGTAGAGAAAGTTATCAAAACAAGTAAAAGACACAAAGCAGCTGGTATCGACGGAATAACAACAGAAGTCATCCAGGCTGGAGAGGACACTATGATCACCTGGCTGGAGAGAATTTTCAATAGAGCATGGGCAGAGAGAAAGGTACCAGTGGATTGGCAAAGATCAGTTGTAGTACCTATCTGGAAGAAAAAAGGAAACAAGAGAGAATGTGGAACTTATAGAGGAATATCTTTACTAAGTCATGTGGGGAAAATGTATGCAAAGATCTTAGAAGGTAGGATAAGAGCAAAGGTTGAACCTCTACTGAGTAAAGCACAATTCGGTTTCAGGAAAGGGCGAGGTTGCACTGATGCCATATTTGCACTAAGACAAGTCTGTGAAAAGACACTCGAATACGATAAGAGCTGAACGTGGTTTTTGTGGATCAAGAGAAGGCATTCGACCGTGTGGACAGAGATATGCTGTGGAGAATTCTTGACGATTACGGAGTGCAGGGTCAATTATTAGACAACATCAGAGCCCTCTATGAAAAAAGTGAAAGTGCAGTAAGAACATCTAGTGGTTTTTCTGAATGGTTCAAAGTCACAACTGGTGTCAGACAAGGATGTGTACTGTCACCATTACTTTTCATAACATACATGGATAAGATCACTGTAGAAGCCAACCCAGACGTGTATGCTATAAACGAATTACTTTTTGCTGATGATCAAAGCATACTGTATCAAAATGAATATGATCTACAGGAACATCTGACTACTCTCAACAACAGCTGTTTACAACATAATATGAGAATCAGTACAGAAAAAACAGAAGTTATGAAGATCAGCAGAACACACAGGCCACTGAATATAAATGTTGGAAGTGCCAAAATCAAGCAAACCAAAGAGTTCAAATACTTGGGCAGTATATTTACAGAGGATGGAAGAATGGACAGAGAGATAGAAACAAGAATACAGAAAGCAAATGCTGTCACATACCAACTATCACCTCTGCTTAAACATCCAGATATAACCATGAAGACCAAAAGACAATTGATAAACACCCATCTTCATTCCAACACTCTGCTACCAGTGCCAGACATGGACAATCAACAAGACCCATGAAAGAAAAATAGAAGTCTGTGAAATGAAATGTCTAAGAAAAGCAGCGAATAAGACCAGACTAGACAGGATAAAGAACATAGACATTAGAAACACTGTCAAAACTACACCATGTTTAGACTACATAGAACATCAAAGAATGAAATGGTTTGGACATCTAACCAGGATGAAAAATGACCAAATAACATCACAAATTTTCAACCAAAGAAGCTCAGGATATAAGGCAAAAGGAAGACCAAGGAAACTGTGGATTGACGGGGTCTCCGAAACCTGCCAAAAGCATGGCCTCAGAACATCAGATGCTGCCCGCCTTGCTTATGACAGGAACTTGCATCTCCCCACAACGCTTAGCGGCATACGTGGAAGGAAAAAGTAAAAGTAAGTAAAGTAAGTGACTCCCGACCCCATACCTCTCTTTCTTCTTCTTTTTCCTCTTCTTCTTCTTCACCGGCTGTAAGCTCCCAGTGTTCGCCCATCTCTGTACTTTAGTCTTGTTCCAGAATACATCTGGTTTATTTGTATGCAGACTGTTGGTTCTTTGCGTCTCAGCCAGACTTGTGGCTTTGAAGAAAGCCCCCAATTAGCGACTCCTACGACATGCTTGTTGGGGAAGTAGCGGGTCTATTCTTCTTTTCCCTGTAACTGAGTCCTCGAACCCACACGGGGTTTTACATTTTAAAAAAAAAACTGTAATATGTTTCTCTGTTTAGGGCGTGGGGACGTGATTTTTATTTTCTTCCGGTTTTAATATTTTCATAGCTCGCCACTGCCCTTAACCCCCCCCCCCTCCCCCCGCCCCATGGGATCTCGATCCTGGGTTGGGAACCCGTTTTCCAAACCAGACATGACAAACTGGGTGTCCCTGAGCGGGAAGGTCACTTTTTCACGGCATAAGGTTCACACGCGCCAAATATTTGGAGTCATTTAATAAACATTATTGCAGAACATTTCCTTTGTGTGGGCCGGAGGTGTGCTTGCAAAGGGCCGCATACAGCCCGCGGGTCGCCAGTTTGAAATGCGGCTCGCTAGCGTAGTTAGCTAAACCTGACTTCGCGACGACCGGGTGACGAACTCCTTGTAGTCTGGGTTGACGCCCGGGGGTAGGCAGAACAGCCACATTTCCCCCAGATTTGCGGTATTTATCATGGAATCAAGGCCCAAGGGTTGCGATATCAATAGTTCTGAGCCAAAAGGTTAAGAATTCACGGTTTCTGGATATAACAAAAAATAAATAAATTTTTAAAAAGCCATTACCCTACCTCTAATATGCCGTCCATACGTTCACAGATAACAACAGAACACTCTTGACCACCAGAAGCTATACAACAAAT